GAGCATTACATACCAGTTGCTTGTCACTGGGAGTGGTAGAACTAAGAGCGAGTGCGTGCCCACTAGCAGCATTGAGCGAGGAAAAGTAAGAAAAGAGTAACACCACTCTGAAACCACTCATCTTCGCACGCTCGCACGAAGGTTTACAACGACATTGTGAACTCCTTCATGTAGAGCAATAACCAATGCAAACGAGCAGTCATGTCCGTATGTCGGTTCATGGTGTCAGTTGTCAGGTTGCTGTCGTACTCGCTGTCGAGTCGTGACGTCGCGTCTACTCCTGTTCATCTTCCTGTGATGAGACAGTTGGATAGACAGCTGCACGTATAAAAGGCGACCAATTTTTCAATACATACACACTCTTCGCCTTCGACTAGCTTACTACCCCGCAACAAGCTTAAAGGGTCTATCCAATCCCTGAAGTGCACTTACGGTATAGTTCTCTGTATATAGATTATTATACAGCGAGGTAAAGCCTCATATATTTAGGTCCGTCTCCCCGTTTTCCATTTATTAACTAACTATAGAAGCCACTATCCATTCTTACTACAATGAGGCTGATCACTATCAGTGCCGTTTTGGCGTTTGTGGTCGCCTTTAATGCCGTCTCAGCAGACGTGGTCGAGTACAGCGACCTTTCGCAAGCCCGTCCGACTGATGGGAGCGTCCGCTTGTTGTCAACTGGCTCCAAGTTCGGCAGTTTCCAACGTCTGGCTCCATCTGTCCTAGACCCTCAGTTCCTCCAAGAGTTCGGTGCTCTCGGCTACTTGCGGGTAAGGATAATGAGGATGGCAGTTCGTACGTCGGCAGGCGCCTTTACATATCCCTGCCTTTCCAGGTTGACTTCGATGCCAACGGTGACAACACATATAAGAACTCCGCGTCACAGGTAAGGCATTCTTGTTCCCTCCCCAAATCAGCCTTTCTTTGGCTAGCTACCTATCTAGCGCACATGTATGTCTAACTCGCTGCAAACCCTGTTCTGCAGTACGTCGCTGCTATCAAGAATGCCACAGTGTGCGGAAGTGAAGGCGATGTATGGGATGGCGAAAGCCGCTTGTATCGCGCGAACACATGGGTTCGGCATCCCGTCTCTAAGCTCCTGGTAAATGTTCCTTTCAACCTGCAATTTGCTGTTCCTTTCGGCTACTCCTTATACTTACAAACCGCGTACATTCATCAGGCCTGGAAAGAAGAGGCCGAGGCGCATGGCGTCAAGCACTACAAGCGACTCGCCACCGCCGTCCATCGCGTCTCCTTCATGTACTTCCACTTCATGACAGGTAAGCAGGCAACGATTAATTGCGCCATGTTGTTTTTTTATGTTGGTCGCCGTACAGAACCTTGCTCAACCCTCTGCCGTACAACGTTCTATCTACCCCAACAGAGGCGCTCCCCAAGATTGCCAAGTTCGCCCCGTTCCTGGCGGCTGATCCCGAGCTCAAGCTCTTGACGTACGGCAGCGAGTTTGAGTCGGCCTGGATCAAGAAGCTGGGCATCCGTGAAAGCCAGCTGGTAAGTACGGTAGTGTCATCATACAGGAAGGTTTAGGCTCCTATCTAATATAGGGATAAGTAAGGATGATCCAAGTTTTCGGTTGGTGTGATTCAAATTTCGGAAGGATCGCCGTACTCAATTGCTGTACACCCGCACACAGGTCACCTTCGACCCCCTGTTCGCCTACCAAGCGGATGAGCTGCTGGTCACCAACCCCGTCGAGATCGCTCGTACACCTCGGGAGGACCTGGAGAACACCATCTCCCAGCTCGGCCTGCCGCCGCCGCTGCCCGCCTCCGAGCGCACCGACGTGGTCTACGTCTCCCGCCGCCTCGCATCCGACCGACTGCAAACCAACGAAGCGGCGCTGCTGTCGGTTCTGGAGCTGGAGGCGGCTGCGCAGGGGCTGCGACTGGTGGTGCACGAAGGCAGCCCGGATGTGAGCTTGGAGCAGGACATCGAGACCTTCCGCCGTGCCAAGGTGCGTGAGATAGATACCGGTAGATGGATTCCACACATGCACGAGAGATACCAGTACCGCCCTGTCCTGCCGTACAACCCAGACCTGCTTTTCCTCTACCGGTTGCAGCTCTAAGCTCAGCTCAGCTCATGAGCTCAGCCCAAACCTGCTTGGTGCTTGCTGGCCTTACCTTGGCCCTGTCGGGCCACTGCCGGTATAACCGCACATGCACGTTTCCAATGATGACGCTGTTCCTTTTGCGGCGGCTGTTGCTGTTGCCGTACGTGTCCCGCATGCGTCCCGCACAGATGGTGGTTGGCCCCAACGGTGCGGGTCTGTCCCACATGCTGTTTGCCGCCCCCGGCACCGCGCTGATCGAGCTCATGTTCATTAACAACACCGGAATGGACCTCTGGCACCTCACCGCGGCGCTCAACCAGGTGAGAGACAGCCTTCACAATTGACCTGACTTCGTGACCTGCCTTCGCGGCCTGTCGTTGGCTGGGGACGTGGGTTAAGCTGTTCACCGACTGGCCGCCTTACCGTAATCATTGACGTGGGCACGTGCATGTTTGTGTATGTCACGGGTGCCATGTGCAAGTGCCTAGGAAAGTGGGGGGGGGGTGCTGCCGTAGACACTCCTACCTAACACACACGCACTGCCGTACACCTGCGCCCCCACCGCCACCCGCAGTCGTACTACATGGTACCGCTGCCTCGCTCCTACTGGCTGGACCCCGGCTCGGAGGTGCCCATCGAGCAGGCGCTATCCACCGTCCGCTGGGCGCTGGGCGTGCAGGCCGGCGCCAAGCCCGCCTGCCCCAAGGGCTTCGCTCCCTCCGAGGGCGCCGGCAAGGGCTGCAGCATCTGCCCTCCCGGGACCTTCAGCACCGGCTACGACGAGCAGTGCCAGGCCTGCTCTCCTGGATGGTAAGAGCGGGGAGGGGAGAGTGCGTTGTCGCGTGTCCATGCATGCATGCATGCGTGTGCTCCCTACCTGGCGATGCTGTTTGTACAGCAATACAACAAAGTATGTCGTACTACTCAACAGTATAAACTACTAGTACTAATACTCTACCTTGTTGGCAGCCACACTACTAACGGTCACTTGTCCCCACCACACCACACCCCACATCAAACAGGGTTGCGGAGCGCTCCGGCAGCAGCTACTGCCGCATCTGCACCACCAACAGCTTCGCTCCCAACCGCCTGGGCTGCTCCGCGTGCCCACGTGACACCCTGGCCGCCATGCCGGGCTCCACCAAGGTCGAGGAGTGCCTGAATGCGGATGCGCTGGCCGAGGTAAAGGCCGGCTGGTTGCCAACGGATCAAGTCGTGTCCAAGGTTTCCGGCTACTACAAGGCACTCGCCAAGCGCCGGCAGGCCCGCGAGGGGACCACCAGCTTTGACAGCCTGCCTGCACAGCTGAGGGACCGTGTGCTCAGCGAGATCGATGCGTGCACAGGTGGGCCCTGCCCTGCCCTGCCCTGTCCTGTCCTGTGCGCTCTGTACGCACGCATGAGTAGCTTCGCTCTCTTTTACATGTGCCTGATTGGTGTTGTGTTCCCCAGTGCATTGCATTGTGTTCCTTTCCGCGGTAGTAATCCGTCATCCAACCCCATGCCATTCGCATCACCCAACCCCGCCCAGTCAACAACGCTTTGACTCATATACAACTCCCCACCCGCACCCGTTGCCACCCACGCAGGTTACTACTCCCAGTACTCCGCGTACTGCATCACCACACCTCCTGCCTCTCCCTCTCCCTCTCCGTTGCCATCACCCTCGCCGTCCGTGTCTCCCTCTCCAACTCCCTCCCCAACCCCCTCGCCGTCTCCCAAACCCGATGACGGATCGTCTTCGCCCTCGCCCTCGCCTACAACGCAACCGGAGGAGGGGAAGACACAGAACAAGAGCGCCATTGCTGGCGGCGTGGTTGGTGGTTTTTTCGGGTTGCTGATTATCGGCGGCGTGATAGGCGCGCTGGTCTTCTGGGGCGTCCGGCGGCACAGAGCCCAAATCGCGCAGAAGGAACGCTACGAAACCTTTGTCTAGATCGTGGAAATCGTAGGAAACGAGGGGCGGGCTGTTGCGAGCTATTTAGCGTGCATGGTGGGCCTTTAGGGCGGTTACTGATTGGCATGCCTTCGGGGCGTTACCGACTGACTTGATGGCTTGTTTCCCTTGTGATTGCCGCCGCGGGTTACTGCTGTGCGTGCGTGCGTCTACTTAAAACCCGTTTGTCGTACATGACAAGTACGGCATGGCGTTGACTTTGCTACGGGCATATGGCAAAGAAGAAGAATTTCTCGTTTATCTTGGTATCTTTTTACGCTTCTGTAAACTGCTTGTGGTTTTGTGGTTAAAGCTGGTTTATTATCCACGTGAACTGAGCTTCGTGAATGTGTGGGGGAGGGGAGCGTACCGGTACTTATGACATGCGCGAGCATGGTGTGAAATGTATATGCGGCGGCTGACTTGGCAGGTTCATGTAGACTGGTTATTGCGGTTGACCCTTGACCAGGAACTGTTCTAGATGAACAGTAGTTGTACGTATCAATGTGCATGCGGGATGTTAATTGTGACAAAGAGCGACAAGCGATCTAGTTGGGGAATGCACATACAGCAGGATGTTGAGTGGTGTTGTGTTTCAAGTCGTTGGAGTGAACAGGTTTAGCGGTTGGAAGAAGAGAAGCCTCATAGAAAGGTCCCGGATACCTTCTCGACGACGAAACATGTTTTGACCTGTAGCGTGCTTGGCGGCTTTCCGGTACTTGGACATGTAACTGATGACTTCAACTGACGACCACCACGGTTGGAACATTCAACATGCTCCCTCACCGCCGCACACACACCACACGCAAGCATCCCGCAGTGACCTGAAGTAATGGCTGCGAGCCCGCAATTGCCTTGCGGACAGGTAGCTGTGACCCACGGGTCATGCCACCCGCAGACTGGCACATGCAATTAGAATGGGTTGCCCTTTATGGGTCGCAATCTTGCATAGGCGAACTCCTGCTAAAGCGGATAGATGGAGGCATTCCAGCTCGCTTTTTCGTTTCACCAATGCCCTCACCACTCGCTAACTGCTGCGTGCCTGCTTCCTCACTCCTACCAGTCGCAGCAAACGTGTCATGCATCATGAACCATGCATCTTGAAAGACGAAGACAGCGCCCCCAATCACACCAGCCTAACAAGCCCATAATACGTGTTCGTTTGAACGTGGAAGCACATCACATCACAACACAGCGTGGCGTAATTGAACGACATACAATACACCCTCCTCCTCACCCGCTCCCTCCCTCCCTTTCCCCCCGAATGCCCGCTAAATTCCTTCATCACGACCATGCCTCCACTTGGTACCGTCCCTTCAGCTCCAACTGCCGTACGAACGCCGCCGCTGCCTCCGTACCCAACCCGCCGTACTGCACTGCCACGTCAGCAAACGCCGCCGCCACCCCCGCCGGCATCTTTTTAGCCGCTCCCGACACATACACCGCCGCCCCGCCCTCACTCAACAGCCCCCACAACAGCTCCCCTTGCTCCCGGATTCGTTGCGTCACGTAAACCTTGCTGCCGCTGCTGCTAACGGCGGTGCTGCCGTTTCTGCCGGCTGCTGCAGGCGCTTCGCCTCCGGCGGCAGCGACGGCGCCGTTTGACCCATCCGCTACAGGTTGTTGTTGTTGCTGCTGTTGTTGTGTTTGCCCCTGCTGAGGAGGAGCAGCCGCTGCTTCCCGGGAGAAGGCGGTTATGAGGCCATGTGTGGGGTGTAACACGCCAGCTCGCATGTACTCTTTCCACTGCTGGGAGTAGTAGAAATCGGCGGAGCGGCTGCGGCAGCCGAAGAACAGGAAGCAAGGTGCGGGAGGTGGTGTCAGCGGCTGCTGCAATGATGGTTGCTGCTGCTGCTGCTCTTGATCGTTGGGCGCTTGTTGCTGCTGCTGTTGCTGTTGATCCTTGTTGCTTGCCAAGATCGTTGCGTAGCGATCTTCCAGGAAGGCGCGGAAAGGCGCAACGCCTGCAAATGGAGGGGTAGCCAAGGCGCGTTACGTTACCGATACATGCAACGGCAAGGGGCTCTCACATGAAGGTGAACCTGGGGATGCTTTAAATCCGGTGGACTTGAGAAGGTACGTGTGGGTACAACCTCCTCCCGCAGCAGGGGCCGGCTGGACCATAAACATCATCTTATCACCGGTACGGTAGCTAAAAAAGTATGGACTGCGCAGCACCTCCCCGCCATCGTTTGCCATGCTTCCCCCACCTGTGCCGGGACCGATGAGGATGAGCGGCGTGTTGGGCGACTTGGGCGGCCGCAGCGAGCCGCGCTCCGTCCACACTGCCACTCGGATCTGGGGGCGGGGGAGGAAGAAAGAGGGAAGGGGTGTAAACTTGCAAAGCAGGAAGAAACGGTAAACGCGGGTTAAGCGACCAAACGGGGCACTATGGTTTGTGCGCTAGGCGTAGACGAAAACCAACAGAAGAAGAAAGTGCGATCTCCACTTCTTGTACTGCGTTTACCGGTATGACCCGTGGGTCATCCTAAACCAAAACCATACAAGCCCTATCCACCCTGACCCCAGACATACGCACCTCCTCCCCAGCCGCCTCCGCCGCCGCCGGATCCAACCCGCCCAAGTAGCCGCTACACAGCCCCACTCGCCGCCGCCGCAGGGGGGTATTGTACGACACGAGGGCCACCAGCAGGTGTACGGCAGAGGGTCCTCGCAGGCTCTGACTGCTGGCGGCTGAGAAGAGGCGGGGTCGCAGCAGGGGGGCGGACTCCAGCAGGCGCTCCAGGGGGGGTGAGGCGGAGGGGAAGTCGGAGAGGACCTCTGACAGGGTTCGCGATTCGCGCTGGTTGTAGCTGTAGACAGGCAAGCGGGGGGGGGGCAGCGGGGTGAGCAGAGGGAGGGCAGATTTAGTGAGCAGAGAGGGAGAGCTGAGGACAGAGGGCGGACCAACGAGGGAAGCTACAAGTAAAGAAGGTCGAGAGGCATGAGCAAAAGGTGAGCTGGGAACCAACGAGGGGCAGGAGGAACCGGGAAGTGAAAACGATGCCTCCCTGAACTGCTTCCAACATCCCCGAACTCCCAGCCTAGCATGGCCCGCATCTCGGGTGCTGCGAAGTGCCCACCTCCATCAGTACCTACTCAAATCTCACGCCGTTACACCCCACCCTCACCGGTACAGGTCGTCCCGCCCCTCCGCGCTCGCAAAGTGCGCCAGCCGCTCCCGCTCCAACTCCGTGGCTGCGTAGTTGTGGAGCACCTGGAAGAGGAAGCGTCGCGGTGAGGCGCCGGCGATGTCGAGACATCCCTAGGGAACCGAGAAGGAGAAGAAGGGAAAGGAGTGAGGGGAATACTGAGTACAAACCCTTAGGAAAGGGAGGTTGCATGGCAAACTAATGCGCAAGCTACAGCAGCAACCGTAGCAGCAACAACAACAACAACAGCCCCAGTACGCAGCATCTAACAGAGGGCTACCGGTACAAGATATCTCAGACCCGACCCAACGGAAAACGAACAACATGCAACCCACCTGCACTAGGGACCGAACGCGCGCCACGACGCAGGGAGCAGCTTCACCAGCCCCACACGACCCATGGGTCACCGCGTCGTCATCCGGCGACTGCTGTGGCCTCTGCTGCTGCTGCTCCTCAGCTGCCTCCAGCCGCACCCACGCCTCTCCGTCCAGCCCCAGTCGCTGAAGGAAGGCATCCACAGCGACCGTGGCGGTCCTGTCGGGTCGTCACGGGAGAAGAAGAGGAAGGAGGAGTACGAGGCGGTGAACGAAGGTTGGTCGTGGCGGGCGGGGAACTGTCTAACTCTCGCATTCATTTACATGGGCAACCCCTCAACCCCTCACTCACATGGGCAAGATCGCAACCAGATCTCCAGGCTCGTACGACAGTCCAGATCCATCCAGATCCAACTCAATGTGCCGAGTGTCCTGAAAGTGCTCCGGAGCCGTAATGCGTCGGTTAACCGCCAACCGTGCAAGGTACGGCCGCCAGGGTCCGTACGTGTACGGCAGGGGAGGATGCCGTACATCTGCGCCTTCGCCGTCCTGTAGTACGGCAGTCGTGGGCCGGTGACCTCCTCCCGTGGGAACGTCCCGTGGGTCTTGCTTGGGTTCTGGCTCCGAAACCGAAACCGGCACTCCTGACACGTACTGCAGCAGTCGCCGGAAGTCCGCTGCTGCCGCCACCGCCTCAGCCAAACGCAACGTAGCCTCCAGGCCTGTACTACTGCTGCTGCTACTGCTGCCGCCGCAACCCTTGCTGCTGCTGTTGTTGCTGCTGCCGTCACCACCACCCTCACCGCCACTACCGCAACCACCTCCCGCCGCTTCAGCCTGCTGCTGCTTGCTTTCCTCCTCCTCTGCCAATATCTGCCCCTCCGCTGACCCATGGGTCGCCTCCACCTGCTCCTGCAGCCCTTGCTGCCGCTTCAACCCTTCCTCCTGCAGCCCCTGCTGTGCCTGCTGCACCAGCAGCTCCCCCAGCACCGGCAGGTGCGGCTGCTCCCTGCGCAGTCGGGCAGCCAGCTGCCGGGCCGCGCAGGCCGTCTGGGCGGGGCTGCGGAGGGGCGTGAGGCGCAGCTTGGGCGGCGAGAGCGCCAGCAGGCTCTCCTCGGTTAGCAGCGGCTGAGGGGGAGGAGGTGGGAGGGGCAGGGGAGAGGGAGGAGGGGAGCTGACAAGGCGGGTGGCGGTGGAGAGATCTCACGGCGTGCCTACGGCCCCAGGGAGCACATGTATACATGCAGGCACGCTACGTGTGCTGCCCGGCAGCAGTCTACGTCCCTCCCCAACCCCGCGACCCCTCCCCTCAGGCCAGTTATTTTAACACACCGCCTCAGGCGCCACACACCCCTCACCGCACCTGCTGCACCCCCTCCGGCAGCGGCGCCAGCGCACGCAGGGCGGGCCACAGGCGGGCCAGCCAGGGGTCCAGAGCCGCCTCGTAGCCGTTGGGGTGCTGTAGATGGGAGGACGAGGGGCAGGGGCAGGGGCAGGTGGAAGAGGGTGCGTGTTAGGCATGCTGCTTACGGTATACTCGTGCTGCACTACCCTATGGCTCCTTCCTCCCCATACCATCAACTCCCCAACCCACCACCTCCTCCCCCCCATGACACCACACATTGGATATTCTTCTTTCCCCCATGCCTCGTCATACAGTTCGTCGGTTTCCTCTTTTCCCCCACCTGGTCGTCCCCCAGTCCCCGCTCCAGCAGCACTCGGGCGCCCAGACCCGCCAGCCGCTTGTCCAGCTTCTTGGCGACAACCTGGGGAAAAAGAAATTCCAATGTGTGGTGGAGGGGGGGAAAGTGAGGGTGTGGTGGAGGCACCGGTATGTGGGTGAGGCCAGATGGGCTGATGATCTGCTTGCCCGCTGAGCCGGCCTGGCCCTCTTACCCCCCCCCCCCCAGCACGCGAGCCATTACGCCCTACGTTATAGTTGGGGTATCCCGAGTCGCCCAGTCCGAACACGGCGAAGCTGCAGGCAGCCAGCGAGTCCGGCGGCAGGGAGCGGCGCAGCAGGAAGCGCCAGAAGCGGCGCATGTTGTCAGGCGGGTCGCCCTGGCAGGAGGGAGAAGGGCAGGGCGGGAGCGGACGGTGGGAGGAGGGCGGGCGGTGGAGGGGGGTTTGGAGGTCAGGGGTCGCGGCGTTGCGGGGTCTGGTGGAACGGTGGATGTGGGGGAGATGGGTTCACGTGTCATGCGTGATGCAATGTTGGTAGTGGTTGTAAGGTTGTAAGGGTGGCTTGATAAGGTAAGTGCGGATTTAAAGGGTGGAGTTAAGAGACAGACCTGGCCAGTGGTGGATGTTACGCAGACCAGGAGCTGCTCGGAGGGGAGGCTGGTGACATCGTAGCTGTCCATGGCGACAACACGAGGTTTAAACAGCCGCAACCGGGCCTCCCGGCCGATGCGCTCGGCAACATCCTGGTTTGTGGGAGCATGAAGCGTTTGGGCGAGAGAGAACGCGTTGGGGCAACGTGCACGCTGGCATGGATTGTTCCATGGGCGACGGTTGGTGGAAAGGGGAGCTGGTTCCGTGGATGTTTAGGAACTGGTGAGGTATGTGCAGTAACAAGTACTTTGAGAAACATCTAAAAAGGTTACCAAAGGGTGAGTTGAGCCTGTGGTTGGCACCCGCGTCTGACCCCACCTGCGCATTCCCCGTTTGCGAGCCATACAGCACCAAAAGTGGGGTATCCATGTTCCGCTAAAGCAAGCGGCGAGTAGCGTGCTATGATTAAGCAAGAGCGTGGCGACGATGTAAGGGCCGCCGTATACAGGCGCGAACCTGCACGGCAATGTACAGCTACTTGGTCTCCAAGGCTGGTAAAGCAAGCCAACAGTTACCATAATATTATTGTGCATTAGGTTGCATTTTTCTCCTCAGCCGCCAGCCCCACAATAGGTGTTACTGCTACTCCGGGACCATGTCGTCGATGATGCCGCAGTCCGTTCAGGACGTTCAGAAGGCAAGTAGTGGATCATTTACTGGCGGCATTGGTGCAACTTCCCAGCCTGACCCACTTCACTTTTGCGCTGCGTTGACTAGGCGGTCGAGACAATGATCGAGGACCTGCAGAAGAGCGTCCTCGTGCCCAAGCAGAAGGAGGCGTTCCTTTGCTGCGCTAAGTGCTGCGACAACTTTGACGGGCCTCGCGACCTTGAGTCATGGTGCGTTGCCGGCGGCTGGCTAAAGCCTCTGACGTGGCATCGCATCCGCTACAACAATCGTCACGCCACGCTTACCCGATGTCCCCCCCTTCCCATGCCATTTCCTTCTCCAGCATCCAGCGCTGCTCGCAGCCCTCCATGCAGTCCCAAAAGACCATTCAACAGGGACTTGCTGACTTCCAGGCAAGTACCGTACTGCAGGCTGGGGGTTCTGGTTTGCGAGGCGGCGATCCCCCTGTGAACACCCCCTATTCCATCTTGGTTGCGGTTTTGTCGCGGATGTCCCCGTGCCTACTCCTTACACGCTTTCCTTGAATGCTGCCCTGATCACAAGCGTCCCGCCTCACACGAAACCCCCTGCCTCACACCCCTCGTATACCTCCCGCCTTCGCCTCCTTCTGCTCCTCCTCCGCACAGGAGCGCTTCCAGCGTGCTGCCATGCGGTGTCAAGACGAGGTCAAGGTGGGGATCCGGGACAGGATGTGGAGGGATTGTACCGTACGACTGCTGTTCGCAATGGCAGTGGAAAAGGGGTTGTTAGCCGCATGGGGGGGCGGGTGGGCCGCGATGGTTGCCGCTGGGAGTATACCGGGCTAGGTTGCAGCGTGCTCGTTACAGAAGGCACGACTTGCCAAGGCCACACATCAGCGATGTATGCAGCGTCCATTATTCCACTGGCGAAAGAACGCGCTCCCGCTCGTCCCTCACCACACCCCCTACACCCACACCTCCCTTCCGCTCCCCTCCACACGCACACCCACAGGACGTGCTGGGTTTCGAGCCCTCCATGTCTGACCAGGCTCGCGCGCAGGACAAGTTCAACAGCTGCATGGAGGTGGCGGGCAAGGATTTCCTGCAAAAGGTGCCCAAGCTCAAAGCCGACCTGCAGGCGGCGCTGCGCAGGCACTGAGGAGTTGGTGGTGGCGGGCTGGGGAGGTGGGGAGCTGTGCAGGCCGTGAGGCAGCAGCGGCGGGAACACTGACCCTGACCGGCGGCTGGGGAGTTGGTGCAGGCGGGCTGCGGGGTAATGAGGTCCCTGCCGGGAAGGCGGGGTGCTTGGGGGACAGCATGGGAGGAGCCCGGAGGGGGGAGGTAAAGCAGCGGTGGGCCTTGGTGGAGAGAGCTGTTTGAAGGAGGAGGTCCTGGGCTCCTGGCGGATTGGACGTTGAAGGTCAGGGGACGTAGCGTTGTGTGGGTGTGATATGACTAAAGACTTCGTATCTCCCTGCTGCGCGTGCAAACATCGGTGCGGAGTGCATGCACTGCGCACGTTAAGCCTGCATACCGCTAACGTGAACGTGGTGGTAACTTGAGAACATGAGGACACGTCCATTTGTTTTGGTTGTCTTGAAGGAGGGCGGCGTCGGAGTCTGTTCCCTGCCGGCCTTTCTGGTTACGGAAGGTCTAACGAGCCATGAAGCACAACATACCGGTACATTGCATATGCCTTTGACAGTCCTTGACGTTGTACGGGGATGGTGCTACGTGCAAAGTACGGCAGTCTATCTTGTTGCCGGTGCTTGCTTTCAAGAGAGATAAAGTTGAGGAGGGTATTATTGGTCCTTGTGCTCGCTTACACAGCTCGAATCGAAGGTTGACCAACCAAGTTCCTGTGGCTTCTTTGTTTCTCCGCCCAGCGGAGAAGGCGCCGCAATGCGCGGCTCCTGAGCAAAGCCCTCTGGCGCCACTACACTACCGTACAAGAGGTATGCGGTCGTACGAGAAAACGAGCCTGTAACCCACACAACCACCACCCACGGAAGTTCGGACCAGTCAGGTGTAGCAACAAGGTCCACCGTTACCCCAGCAGGCAAACATGGTTTGCATTAAAACGCAAACACAAAGTATTCAACAAGGGGGATGCCACAAAAATGGCTTTGAAACCACGGCAAACCCAAGCAGTGCATGCACAAACTACCACCTGACACACACAAACGACACGCCTCCTGAGCCGTCCTATTCCTAGGCCGTCTAACCCAGGACATACACAAAGAGGGGTCCGACAACTGAAGATGTGGCAATTGTTGGACCGAACCTCCTACCTATTGCTCATGCTCAAGCCATAAACATAAACACCTAACCCCAAAACCCCAGCTGCGCCCAAACCCAAGCAGTGTCTTAATGCGTTCCCAGTAATAACCCAGATCAAACACGCTCATGTATGGTTCCGTCTTTAAGGTTTGAATCCACGCTCTTATTACCCCGACCTAGAGGCGAGAGCTTCGTTGAGCATGCGGATGACCTCCGGCTTCTTCGCCAGCTCTAGCGGGGTCTTGCCGTCAAGACCCACCACATCGGGATGTGCCCCGGCTTTCAGAACCTCCTCTACCTTTGGAACGTCATCCTCGCTGCAAGCCAGAAGGAGGATGATGTCGATGCAGGGGATGCCCGAGGCGAGCAGCTCGTGCAGGCGGTCGTAGGATCCCTCCGATGCAAGGAAGCCCATGTAGCTGAAGTAGTCCTCCACGTCCTTAGGCAGGAAGTCGTGCCGTTGCTGGCTGTCTAGCTCTGCCAAATCGGCCTCCTTGGCCATCTCCGCTCGGCTCTTTCCAAACTTGAAGAAGTTAGCGGTCACATTGCGCTGCACTGCCGGCGCCAGCTTAGAGCTCGTGAAGGGTCGCGCCACAGCTAGAGAACGAGGCTTGCTAGCCCTGACGGATGGGCGGCAGACGGTAGAAGGGCAAGCGCCCGACGCAAGAACAACCCCTTTCATTGCTATGCTTGTCGGCGCAGCGTCTTGGAAGGATCCGACTAAGTCAAAGACTGCTCTATGCAGCAAATATTCTACCAAATGAACGTAGAGCAGTTTACCTTGCTTAGCTCAAGACAAAGACGATTAATTGCCGTACGGCTGTAGATCCACCAATAAAGATACTCCTTCAGCCGCAAGTAAGTCTGCATTAAAGACTATCATGCTGCGGATGTTTAGATTTAGATGCTAGGTAAGAACCATATGCCCTCCGTCGGCCCGTGGTGCCTGTCTTAAACCTCGTGCACGTTCCGCCTGTGCCCTTGCATGTGATAATTGCATCACCACAGCGGTATAAGTAAACCAGTGGTACAATGATTTTGTACACTACCTAGCCGTTTCGTGGGTACCGGGAATGCCTTTCTTCCCTTTGTAAGGGTTGCCTATGATATCAATCACATGCACTACTATTGAGGTGAATTAATTCCTTTGAGTCATTGTCCGGAGTCGTATGAGCAGAGCGAGGGGTGGCCCTACTGTGCACAGTATTGCAAAGGGTGTTGCAAAGAGGCTGCGGGAGCGTGAGGGCAATTATCGTCTTCCAGTTTCCTCATCTTCATCCATGCTAGCTTCCAATGTCGAATGCTCCTTGAAGATGAGCTTACAGTGGCTGCCATGGCCCTATATACAATGACAGACTGCATGGTTGCCACAACCTGTTGGGGTGTACTGAAGTCCATTTACTTCATTCGGCCAAGAGGCGCTGTCATGGGTAGCAAGATCAACTTTGGTGTCAGCGCCTTGTTATTTAACTATCGAGGGCTCGGGGCCAGCTAGTAAGCCAGCTAGGGGTAGTCTGCCTGAGCGACACCGCGCGTTTTCTGCAACGGTTTGTCAAGTGCTCTTAGCGGGTGCATTGCAGCTGGGAATGATCAGAAATGCAGAACTTGTCTAAAAGCACAGGGTTGCCGTACACAGGATCGTTGTATTCGATTGCGCAGGCGAAGCCTAACAAGCAAAGATAGATGATCTCGGTATGATTTTTGCTGTTCTTACTGTGACTGCACTCACAATGTGCAAACTGAGACAGCTGTCAGGCAAGTAGAACTCGCTATATGCGCCCAACATCGATCATTAGTCAATTGCTTTCAACCAACAAATACGTATCATGGTATCCTGGCCTGCAGGCCTGCGCCTCGCTAGGAATTCGGTGATGCGTCTGGGGATGTAGACAACGAACCTAATCGTCGTCCTCGTGGACGAATGCAGCTGTCAGTAATAGACCCAGAAGTATTCAAAGATGGCTTTAACCTTGCCATCTTCTTGGGCGGAATCGCCAAGGACGTCCTGGACCCTAAGCAGCCCGGACCCAAGCCAGATACCAGCACCCCTGCCGCCGCCGTACGGGTATCCCTGGACACATCACGCGCCCTCCTGGAGCTGCTAGACAAGTGCGTAACATCCTTACACATCCCACCCACCAACTTGACATGAAAGGACTTGGTGCCAACATGCAATATGACGCTGCACATTGTCTTGGGTTGGTCTAGATGCTTCCATCCTGGCGTGAAGCCTAAGCACCTCCAACCGCTTTCCTCCCTTACACCCAACGCTTCCAACCTCCTCTCCCGCCTTGCGCCTCAGGGCCGAGGCTGAGGCGGTGTTTGCTCATGGGGAGGTATCCCGCAGCGTGTCGGGGCTGCAGGCCTCCCTGCAAGCGGAGGAGACCAGGTACCAGGTAACCCCCCCGGGGTTGGGGTTGGGGGTCTGGACGCAGAGAGGGGGAGGGATTAGACGGGAGGCGTGGGAGAGACAGAGTGCTGTGCAGAGGCTCGGCACTTGGGTCGGATGGGTCTGGCACATGGACGGAAGGAGGAGTGTGCGCTTACCAGGGGCTAAGAGGGTGGTGGAGAACTCGCATGCGGAGCGCCCTAGGAATGCTGCATGGTGTTCCTGGCGTCCCTCCTCCCCCTTTCCCCCCGCCCCGTTCCCTCCTTTCCCTCCCCATGTGTTCATTCCATGCCTGGCCCCGCCACCCCGCCCCCTCCCTCCCTCCCTCCCCCAACGCACCCAGAAATCCCTGTCGGCCTGCAGCCGGCGGTCGGAGCGCGTGCGTGAGGCGCTTCGGCGGCTGGAGGAGCGCAGCGGGCGGGTGGGGGCGGTGGGCGCCCGCATGGGGGACAGGCTGCAGGTGGGGGGGGGGAGGATGTGGAAGAAAAACCAACTAACCGCCTTGGTGGTGGGGGGTTGCTGAGTGTGGGGTGGGCCCGGCTGCTGTAGAGCCTTGGCGTCACAGCCTCCCTCTTCCTTCCCTCCCTCTTTACCTCCCTCTCCCCTCGGGATATGGGACTGGGACTCCAGTTGCTGCACTTCTCATTTTCGTTTCCTTCCCTCCCTTCACCTCCCTTCACCTCGCCTCCCCCAGCGCGCCCATGCACTGCGCTCTCGCGCCTTGGAGCTGGTCCCCCTACTGTCCTACTTGCGCCTCTTTGCCGACCTGCCTGACCCGGATGGTGCGACCAGTGGCCAGCAGCAGCAGCAGCAGCGGGGGCACAAGGAGGCGGAGGAGGAGGAGCGGGACTCGGACGGCGCGGTGGAGGATGTGGGGCCGGGCAGGCAGCAGCGTAGCGGTGGTGGCCGGGTGCATGGGAGGAGGGGTGGAGGAGGAGGAGGAGGTGCAGGAGGTGGCGGTGGCATGGAGGGCGCGTATCGGGCGGTCCTGCCGGCGCTGTTTTGGGAGGAGCGCAGGATGGCTGAGGCTGCGGTGAGCAGGAGGAGGGGGAGGAGGGGGTGGAAGGAGGTGGGGGGGGAGGTCAAAAAGACCATACCGAACCCACATAGCAACCCACAGGTTGGGGGGGAAATTATATAAGAAATGCAAACAACTAAAGTCCCAATCCCATATCCCGACTCATGCACAGGTTGGGAGGGGGGGGGTGATAAAGCAGACTTGTGTGGGGAAGGGCCCTAGATGGAAGCATGCTTTGGTTTGCAAAAGCCACCAACTTTTCTCTCCTGTCCCGCCCTCGCCTCCTCCGCCCACATCTCGCTCATCTCCCCCCCTCCACAGTCCGTAGCTCGCAAGCTGCGCGCCCTCACCTCGGAGGCGGAGAGCGCCCTGCAGCGAACCCGACTGGCGGGGGACGCCGCGGCAGCGGCGGGGGCAGCAGCGGGAGCAGTGGGAGCTGGGGCGGGGGCGGCAGCAGCGGGTGGGGAGAGAACAGCAGCTGCCGGTTTCTTTCCCTCGCCGTCCGTTCTCAGCATGGGTGGCAGTGGGGGCGGCAGTGCGATGGTTGCCCCCCGGGGTAGTCTGGAGTACTGCACTCGGCGGCTTGCGGAGTATTGCGCTTGGCTGGAGGGTCGGGTGGTGGCAAGGTGGGTGGCAGGAAGGGGGTAAGAGGTGAGGTTGCGGTCTTAAGACGTCTTGGGTGCTTGGCGGTTAAGACGACAACAGAAGGGTTAAGGGTATGGAGGGCTGGAGAGAGGTCAACTCGATGACGATATGCGTGCTACCAGCTTTGTGTCCTTACCTCTCTCCACCGCCACCACCACCACCTCTCACCCTTCCCCCCCTCCCCCAGGTTCGACCGCGCCTTCGAGGACGACAACCTGCGCCTGATGGCCGAGTGCGCCCGCATCATGGCCGCGTTCGAGATGGAGACGGTTGTCGTACAGGTGGGCGTTAAGAAACCTGGCCGTACAGGTGGGCGTGTGTTAAAATAACTGGCCGCAAGGCGAAACGTGTGTGTGTGTTTCGGCCAAGAAAGCGTGCCGCACACGCACCTGTACGACACACGCGGCCAGAAGCCTTAACACACACTTGGTCTTATTTTCCCCCTCCCCATCCACCTCTCCTCTTCCCCCCCCCCCCGCAGCGCTACATCTCCCTGCTCCCCGCCTTCCAGACCCCCCTGGACTCGCTGCCCTGGCTGCGTGAGCCCGCAGTGGCGGCGGATGATGCGGTGGTTGCGGAGCGGTTGAGACCGTTGAGCAGGCTGTACGGCACACTGGGGGAGACGGTTGAGATTGAGGTGGGTGGTGGTTGGGATGGTGGTTGGGGTGGAGGAGGAGGTGGGGCTGAATCCCCTGTATGCGATGAGAGGGATCGCGATATGATCTGTGCGAGGATTGAGAAGGTTGTTCGGACCTTCTAGATTGATTGGTTGGCCTTTGCTACCTCCTCCCCCACTCACACTACCGTGTCCCTCCTCAACACTCCGTCCTAACCGCACCCTCCCCCCCTTCAAAAACCAACGACAGCTACATGCTAACCCAACCGTCCAGCCTAATGCGGAATAGTGTATCCCTAGTATAGTATTCCCCCCGTCCTCTCTCCCCCCTCCCCTGCAGGCTGCCCGCATGTCCTCCGTCTTCCCCTCCCCCCGCGCCGCGCTGCAGCTGCTGGCCACCCGCGTGTTCCAGGACCGAGTGAGGCTGGCGCTGGACAGGTGAGTGTGGTGGGGGGTTGGGGGGGTGGGGGGGGGGTGGGAAGAGGCGAGCGCGGGATGTACATGCTTGGGGGTGCCCTCGCCGCGCCGATTAAGATCGGAGGACGTGTCAGGACCACACCAAAGTGTCGTCGTCGCTTTCCCGCACCCTCCACCGCCCTCCCCCCCCACACCTGTCACCAGGCTGCTAGAGGATACCGCGGAGGACGCCTTCAGTCGCAGCACCAGCTTCAGCTCGGCTGCGGATGAGCTATTGGAGCTGGAGCAGGAGGGAAGCGAGGGAAGCGAGGGGGAGGGGCTGATGGGGAGAGGAAGGAGAGTGAGCAACAGCAGAGGTGATCAAGAGGAGGTGGAGAAAGGCAAACGCCGCCATGGAGGCGAAGACAAAGATGACGAAGATGATGATGACGAGGACGAGGACGAGGACTACAACAGCAGCGGCAGCGGCAGTTATGACGACGAGGGGACCGATGATGGCGGTGGGAGTGAGGTAGAGGATGGCAGCAGCCAGGGAGCTGCTGCTGCGGATGCCAGACGACGCCAGAGGCGGCAGAGGCAGCGGCGGCGGGAGCAGCAGCAGCGGCGGTTGCGCTCAACGGCACCCTCGAAGGCTATACATGCTGCTGCAAGTGGTGGTGGTGGTGGTGGTGGTGGTGGTGGCTACCCCCGCCGTCACAGCCACAGCAGTTATGAAGGTGGTCGTAGAGGAGGAGGTGGCAGAGGAGGTGGCAGGGGAGGTGGCGGTGATGGTGACGTGTACGGCAGTGGAAGGGATGACGGTGACGACGGAGGCGGCGGTCCCAGTGTGTTGGCGCTGCACCTGTATCTGCGGCTGCTGGCGGGGGCGTACGACAAGACACGGGAGCTGGCGGAGAGGGTGGGGGGGGAGGGGTTATGATGTGGGAAGGGAAGGGAAGGTTCGTCAGGGGGCCGTTCACCAGGGGTTGCCATCATTATCGTTGGTTCACGCCTTAATTTTTTTCTTCTTCCTTCCTTCCAAGTTCCCCCCTCCCCCACCCCCCATACAGCTCGTTAGTTGCATCGTCAGTGTCTCTTTATTTTTTACCCCCCACCCAACCCATGATGAAGCCTCGTCATACAGTTCGTCGGTTTCCTTGTTTTTACCCCAAGCACCCCACCATGCCCCCACCCACCTCCCCGCAGGTTTCCTCCGCCTGCTCGGGGTGTGTGTCTGTGGCCCCGCTGCTGTCCGCCGCCTTCGAGCGGGCGCTGCAGCTGTACCCGGCTCCCGAGCTGCAGTGGCTGGACCTGATGGCCGAGAGGGAGGTGGGAGGGGTAACAGGAAGAGGAAACAACTAACTGACTGGAGGTAGGGGGGTAAAGATGAGGAAACTGACGAGGGGGGGAAAAGGGGAGTTGGCGGTTACCGCTAGTAACTCCACCTTCTAGCGGCCCAACTTTACATAACCACAAAACCCTGTACGACACGCACGCATGCACTCTGTGGGGACTTCATCTTCCGACATCCCAGTACGTTCCTACTCTCGGCCAGTTTTCTTAACACACTCTTTGCACCCCGCGCCCCTCCCCCTTCCTCCTATCCCCTTTGCTTCGCCCTAACCTGTGGCCCCCTATGGTATGGTATGGTCTTTGCCACCACCCCTCGCAGCTAGCTCCCGAGTTCGAGTCGCCCGACCCCGCCCGCCGCCCGCCCCTCTCCGCCGCCACCGCGGAGGCCCTCATACGACGCAACGCAGAAGCAGTGGCGCGCGCGCGGCTGCTGCTGCAGGGGGGGCCGCCTGCACAGGTGGGGGCTGGGTTTGTATGTGTGTGTCGTTAAAAAAACTAGCCGCGAGTAGGAACGTACTCTGAGGGGGGGGCTACGGGGGGGGGGTCTGCTTGCGCAGGTGGGGGGGAGACCGTGTGTGTTTGGAGGAAACCGTCTTGTGCGTGACGGTGGCGCCGGAACAGGAGTTGATGAACTCCTCTAGCTCCTAAGTAATTACCGGTATTTCCAACTCCCCGCCCCCATAGTTAGTTGCCTCGTAAGTTTCTCCTTATTTTTACCCCACCCCCATGTTGGGCGAGCTGCGCAGGTGGCATCTGCCGTACGGTTGCTGTACGTGGGGGAGGCGCCGTACGACGGAACCATGCCGGGTTCTCTCATGGAGCACCTGCCCAGGTAAAAGAGGGGTGGGTTGCGATCTAAGAAAAACGGCCGCGAATGGGTTGTGTTAAAATGACAGGCCGCAAGGTGTGTTAAGATAACTGGCCGCGAAGAGAAACGTACTGTGATTGCCGAAATATGAAGTGTGTGCCGCAAGGTGTGTAGTTGAGTAGGACAAGGTGTGTGTGGGAGAGGGGGGGGATAGGGGCAAGGGTAGGCGCATACCACACCTGCTGTTCGTGCTAGCTGGTCTTGCATGTCCTTCTACCCTGCCCGGCTAGGTTGCCTGGCCGCACCCAACTAGCCAACCTGCCTACCTATTATTCACAATGTCCGTGCCACAGTTTCCTCACCCGTATATAGCTGACTGTTAAACCTACCAACCAACTAACGAACCCAACCGCTCCCCCACACACGCACAGGTACCTCATAGACGGCGTGGAGCGCGAGATGGAGCTCACCCTGCAGCTGGACAGTCAGGGCGACCCAGCAGCATGCAACATGTACCGCCTGGCGAGCTACAACAACAACAACAACAACTTCCAGCACCAGCAGCAGCACCAGCATGTACAACAGCAACAACCACATGCAGCCGTACAGCAGCAGTCTCATCAGCAACAGCAGCCACCGCCGGTGACACGTGCGGCTGCGGCGCAGGCAGCACAGGTGGGGTGGTGGGGTGTTGAGTCTCTGCTGCTGCTTGGGGGAACACACTACTCTCCTTCTCCTGCTACCCCGATACACCGAGCCTGCCTTGGATCCGCGTCCGCCCTCAAGCTCCCCGCTCTGCTGCTCCCCCCATCCTGCCGCTTGCATTTGCCTGAAGCCTCCCTCCTCCTCCTCCTCCACCTCCTCCCCCCTCCTGCTCCCCCTCCCTCCCCCAGACCTACGTGTCCGTGCGAGTGGCTCCGGTGCTGTCCGCTGTCAGCACGGCTGCGCGGGTGGTGGCAGCCCTGCATACACACCACACCAAGGTATCGGGAGTGGGAGGCAGGGTGGGGTGCGGCAGCTAGCTAGCTAGGGGCAGCATGAGGCATCCTGCCCTTACTAGCAGGGATCGAGTCGGTTTGTCCGCCATCCTCTCCGTCCCCTCCTTTCTCTCCTTGCAATCCAGTAACCCACACTCCGCGCGCACCCTGAGGCATACCTTCTGTCCTTCGGCTCTGCTCTCTACCTTGATATCTCACCTTTCCCTTGCCCTCCCTTCGCCTTCTTCCTTCCTTCCCCCGCAGGTAGTGCTGCCTGGTTTGAGCTTCAGAGCTTCCACACATCTTACCTTGCCCCCGCCCCCTTCTCCTCCCCCCCTGCCGCAGGTGGTTCTGCCCGGCGTGTCTTCAGTGCCCTCCGAGGTGTCCGCATGCGGGCTGGGGCTGGGCGGCGGGCTGCGGGCGGTGGAGGGGGCGGTGGCGGGGGTGCTGCGGGCGCTGGTGGATATGCTGGTCATTCAGGTGGGGGTGGGAAGGGGGGGAGGAAGGGGATTCGATAGGTAGATTGAGCCGCATGAAACTGAAAGCCCACCGTGACCGGTTTAGCATACCGTAACATGATGGATTTCCAGGGGTGGGAAGGGGTGGGGGGGAGAGAAGGGTACCCGATGTGTTGAATGAGAATGGAAAACGAGAGGTAGGGCGGGGGAGGGGGCGGGGAAGGGGGCGAATGAAGCTAGGGGATTAGGTAGGTAGGTTGAGCCGTCGCATGAAACTGAGCCGACGTGACCGGTTCAACCCGGAAGACGTTGACGTCCCAGAAGTTGTGTTGCGTAACAGCAAATCGAACAGTCGGGGTGCCGTACGATTACCCTTCTCCTTCCTCCCCCTCCTCCCTCCTCCCTATTTGCCTGTTTTTATGATAGTGTCTCCGTATGAGCTGCCCATCCGCCCCTCCCCATTCGTGGCTTCCCATGGTTTGGTCTATCTTCAGCCCCTCCCCTCCCCCCCTTCCCCCCTTGGGATTCTTCTTTCCCCTCCCCCCTCCCCCTGCAGGCTGAGAAGATCCTCATGTGTGCCCAGCGCCCCTCCGAGTTCCAGCCGCCCACCGGGGGGGCCGCCCAGCAGCCGCACTACCTGGATGCGGCGGCACTGGACCGACCCACGGACGCATGCAGGCTGGTGATGGCGCTGCTGGAGGAGGCGGGACGGGTGGGAGGGGGAGGAGGCGGGGGGGAGCGAGGGGGGGAGTGAGAGGGGGCAGGTTGGGGAAGGGGGCAGGGGGAGAGAGGGGGAGCGAGAAGGGTGATGGCGCTGCTGGAGGAGGCGGGAAGGGTGGGAAAAGGGGTAGGAGCGGGGTAGAGGGGGAAGAGAGCGGAGCAGGGAGCGGGGAAGGACGGGGCGAGGGGGTTACTGTGAACTGGGTGGGGTATCGGCTGCGGCGACCACTTCACCTGTCACCCCTCCTCCTCCTGCCCGCCCTTCCTCCTCCCTCCCTCCCCCCCGCCCGTCTCATCATATATAATTGTTTTACCCGCCCAGGCTGCTCGTGAGGCGCTGGATGGCGGTAACCTGGCCTCCCTGCTGCTGGAGCTGGGCGGGCGCATGCACGCCACCTGGCTCAACCACATGCAGCAGTTCACATTCAGCCCGGCAGGTGGGAGGAGGGGGAGGGGCGGTGTGCGGGGTGGTGGGGGGGCGGGGTGGCGAGGGCAGGAGTGAGGGGCAGGGGCCGGGGGGCGAGGGCAGGAGGGCGGGGTTAGTGCGGTCGTGTGCATGGGCATGCGTACTCGTACCCACCCACCCACCCACCCACCCACTCGCTCCCCGGTTGACCCCTTCCCCTGCCACCTAGCCCACCCACAAGCCACATGCTTCGCACTGAAGTGCAGCAAACGACTAGCGAAGCGGTCGCGAGGGAAAGGTAGTCTTGCAAAGGACAGCCACATCCATCCCCCCCCCCTCCCCCCACCCCCTGCCCCCCAAGGCGCCCTGCGGTGGCGCAGCGACGTTGCTGGCTACACCTCGGTGCTGCGCGGCTGGGCCCCCCCGCTGCTGCCCCCCCTGGAGGCCCGCATGGCCTCGCTGGCGGCCCTGTGCGGGGTTCTGCTGGTGGAGCCGGAGCAGCTGCTGCCGCTGGTGAATGGCAGCCTGCGACTGGACCACAGGTGAGTGGGTGGGGGGGAGGGGGGGGGAGAAGAATACCCAATGTGTGGTGTGGCAGTGGTAAACTAGCTGACCACAGGTGGGCGGGTGGGGGGGAAGAAGGGTACCCAATGTGGCAGCCTGAGACTGGGCCATGGGTGGGGTAACGACTAACGAGGAAACAACTAACTGACCGTGTGATAAGGGCACATGTGGGGGAAAAGAGGTATATCTGAGCCACAGGTTAAAGGGCAAAGCAATGGGGGTAGAGGGAAGCAGGTGGAGGAGGGAAGCTGGTGAGGGGGGTGTTTCTGGTTGCCACATGCGCGTGTGTGCTCATGTGCCTTGCTCATTGCGGACCCCGCTGCTGTCCCCAAGCGCTGACCCCTCATGTCGTCATGTGTGTTACGTGTTAAGGTGTCCGCATGTGTCCGCTGCTGCCCCGGCCCCGCCATCGCTGTATTTATACCCCAATGCCCCGTATCCCTACTAACCCCCGTACCCGGCCCCGCACCCCCCCCCCCCAACCCCTCCCAGGGAGGCCATCAAGTACGTGCGGTTGCGTCAGGATTTCAGCACGGCTCGAGTGCAGGGGCGCAGCTTGCAGCAGGTGTTTGGTGGAGGGGATGCGGTGCCTGGGGGGCAGCAGGCGGGCGGTGGAGGAGGAGGGGGAGGGGGCCGCAGGTGATCGGATGATGTTGGTGGTGATGATGGCGAGGGGGGTGGCGGTGGTGTAGCGGGAATATCCCCCCACGTGGGCATAGACGGTGGGGGAGGGCACGGGGTGGAAGTTGTGGTGGTGGCTATGGGTGGAAATGTACTGATGCGGAGGAGGGGACTTTGGTGGTGAAGGTGTATGAGTTTGTGAAGGTGAAGGTGGGAGGTGGGTGCGAAGGTGGCAGGTAAGGTGGGTAAAAAAGTTATTTGCGATGAGAGAGAGAGAGAGATCATGCAACGCGGGAAACGATTGCTGATTGAATGTCTAATTGCATTATGCGGCAGGTCGAACTTGGGTCGCTTAAACAGGAAGCGCAGCTGGCAGCACGTGCGATGCGCTCTTACGTCCAAAAAGCTTTATTTTGGTGCCGCCTGCTGAAGAAGCTAAGAAGAATTCAAATTTGGCACAACTTTCTTCTTCGGCACCGGCAAGCAATTTACAGCACTTGCAGCGCAACCAGCGCTTCGGCAGTAGAAGGCGGTCACCCTTGCGGGCGCTTCCTAGTTTACCGGTATCGCGCATATATACGAGAACACAAGGCATACCATCCAAAGCGCAAAGCCATCCATTCTTAGTGACATCGCGTTGCGGCTTCCGTTATCGACGGATCCCGTAACGGTATCGGCAACACCCGTGGCAACAGCTTCCCAGCGAAACAAAGCACAACGCTAGAAACTTACTGTAACTTCTCTTCAGAAGCAAAGCGTGAAAAACTTAAAGCACTGAGGCCAACCTAGGAGGCCACCCATGAGGACCCGGGGCCACCCGTGGCGACCCGTGGCGCTCGTCAACGGTTGCACCTTTTCTTGTACGACACCTGGGGTTCCGACATATGCGAGCTTTCATAATCCTGCATAAGCAGCTAAACTTTAGCTTAGATTCGCTTCATATTCAAGTCATGGTACAGGTTAGCGAACGGTCAGTGGACATATAGCTTGTTTTGACTCGGCGAAGTTTTAAGGCCGGAGCTGCAGCAGGGTCGGATCTCGCTCGCTGCTATCGCGACGCGCTTGAATTGTTACCTCAACTGTAGACTTGTTTATCCACCACCCAAATTCAAATGTCCATCAAAATCAGCGGTTTTGATAGCATCAACGACACCAATTGCGATCAGCTTTTTCGCGCCGCTTACAACCGATGGCAAGCTGAAGTGGAGGCCCCCAACTTGGACGACGAAGGCATCAAGCCCTTTGTCGACGAACTTCTTAACGGGCAGGATGTGGAGGCGTACCTGCAGAACTCTCCCGTACAGGTCGGTTCGGCTAATCGCGAAACGCAGCAGATTTACGTATATCCAGTTCCCAGCTGCGCTTGGCACTTTCCGAGCACTCTGCCGTGCGTTACTTCCACAGGAAGGAAAGCAGCTTGACTGGTGGCCGCCGCTGCCTCAAGGTACCGCCGCCGCCACCGACTGCATTGCTGGTCATGTAAACGGCAGCAGCAACAGCCCCATCACATGCGCCCATCCGTCGCCCCCGGCGCCCGGCGCCCGACAAGTATGGCTGCAAGGCGAGAGGGTCGACACTTCGGCAGCGACGGCAGCGGCTGTTGCAGCAGCAGAGGCGGCCGCAAGGGAGGCGCTTGCGACGGTGATGGAGAGATCGCAGCCATCCAGCCTCCCTCCCTCACAGCAACACATGTCGCCAGCCACCCCCACTTTCCTGCCAACAACTGCTGCCAGTGGTTCCAGCCGCAGTCTCCCAGCAATGCCGCGCTTGGACAGCCCCCCCAGCACCGGAGCGCCGATTCTCCAAACGCCAATGTGGCCAAACCAGCTGCTCCCGCCGCCGCCGCGGTATGCAGCTGCGGCGGCGGCGGCGCTGTCGGCGCCGCCGTCAGCACCGTTGGCGGACCCCAACAGCCTTTGTATCACTCCCGCTGCTGGCGGCAGCAGGCCGCTGTCGTCATCGTCACCACCTGCTGCTGCAGCACTGCTGCGCCCGTCAGCAGGCCCGGTGCTGCAGGGGCCGCAGCAGCAACAGCAGCAGCAACAGCGCCCATTTGAGTGGCAGCAGCAACAGCAGCAGCAACAGCGCCCATTTGAGTGGCAGCAGCAACATCAGCAGCAACAGCGCCCATTTGAGTGGCAGCAACAACAGCAGCAGCAACCGCGACAGCAGTTGGCCCGCTACCCCTCAGACGCCTTCCCCTCGCAGCAGCAGCAGCAGCAGCAGCAGCAGCAGCAGCAGCAGCAGTACGGCGGCTCCCCGCGGCAGGTACCTCTGTCGTACAGCAGCCCCAGCAGCGGGAGCCAGCCATCTTCACCGGCCAGCCCCAATGCGCAAGCAGCAGCTCGTCAACTCCCTGCCGGCGGAAGCATGGAAGGCGCCTGGCGGGCCCATTTCCAACAACAGTCGCAGCTGCAGCTGCAGCCCGCAGCACTCGTGGGGCCTCACGCCTCTGCTGGCTGCGGCGGCTATCCTACTGCGGCACGTTCATTCCATGGCGATGCTTATTACGGCATGCCACAGCAGCCCACAGCACTGCCGTCGCCAGCGCTTTCAGGCGTAGTAGGGGTCCCCGCGGCTACTGCTGCTGCTGCAGCTGCCGTACCCGCATTTTCCCTTGACCGGTGGGTGCCCTGCTGCAGGGAGCCTCCTCAGTCGCCTCATCCGCCCCGTGTGTCTGCTGCGAACCCGGAAGCCCGCATGCACACGACCGCCGCTGCCGCTGCTGCTGCTGGCTCCACTGCCCACACCGCCGCATGGGCCCCGAGTCGTCCCGGCGCTGCTGCCGCTGCTGCTGCTGCTGCCTCCACTGCCCACACCGCCGCATGGGCCCCGAGTCGTCCCGGCGCTGCTGCCGCTGCTGCCGCTGCTGCTGCTGCTGCTGCTGCTGCTGCTGCCTCCACTGCCCACACCGCCGCATGGGCCCCGAGTCGTCCCGGCGCTGCTGCCGCTGCTGCCGCTGCTGCTGCTGCTGCTGCTGCTGCTGCTGCTGCTGCCTCCACTGCCCACACCGCCGCATGGGCCCCGAGTCGTCCCGGCGCTGCTGCCGCTGCTGCTGCTGCTGCTGCCTCCACTGCCCACACCGCCGCATGGGCCCCGAGTCGTCCCGGCGCTGCTGCTGCTGCTGCTGCCTCCACTGCCCACACCGCCGCATGGGCCCCGAGTCGTCCCGGCGCTGCTGCTGCTGCTGCTGCCTCCACTGCCCACACCGCCGCATGGGCCCCGAGTCGTCCCGGCGCTGCTGCTGCTGCTGCTGCTGCTGCTGCCTCCACTGCCCACACCGCCGCATGGGTCCCGGGTCGTCCCGGCGCTCTTGCCGCTGCTGCTGTCGACTTCCGGCAGACCCCGGCCCAGAGTACCGGTAGTGGCGCCACGCCCCATGGCCTGCAGCGGCAGCAGCTGCCGCAGCCGCAGGGCTTGTGCCTGAGGTATGCGATAATACAGCAGCAATTTGAGGGAGAGGGAAGGATTAACAAGAAGCGGGTGGCGGGGGAGTTTCTTCGCGAGCTGATGGAGAGCCCCGAGCTGCAGGTGGGTTTGAGCAACAAGTGGCCCACGGGTCAGGCGGACCCGCGGGCTGGCTACGTGTTCGCAACCAAGGGACATCCGGAGGGGAGCAGCTTCGATGGAGGTGGGGTGCAAAGGAGACGACTCGAGGGACGGTATGTCCGGAAAGTTGCGGCATTCCTTGCTGAAAGAATAGGTGGTGTCCAGCCGGGTCAAACTGGCCAAGACACCTTGTCGCGCTTACCAGCACCTGCTGCAAGCAAGCTAACAACTGCTCTCTCATGCACAGTTACTTTCCTGAACTAACCCTGCATGAGAACATTGTGCGACTTGTCCTGCATGTGAACAGGCGGTTCTCGGCAGCGCGACTGGTACGACATGGGCTGGAACAACCTGTACGTCAAACAAGCGTACGGCGCGCGCTGCATGGTGTGCAACCGCACATGGGACAAGATTTGCAAACAGGAAGGGCATCCCTACCGCAAGGTTGGTCGGCTTGCTGCCACGGTGTGCTGCCTGTGCCCTGCCCGTGACTGAACAGTGGCATGGCCATTTGGACAGGGACTGTTGGATTGTATGGGTGCGTGATGCTGAGGGAGGAATGCACCGTTACATACACGCATGTGGATTACCGGTTTCTCAAGCTTGTTCGATTCATCTTTTCGCCCGTTTGGCCCCAGAACCATGAGCAAGTACGTGCGTGCAGTGCATGCAGCACATCCTAGGCCCTGCTTCACCCTAACACCTCTACCCATCCAACCCTTCAGTTTTGCTACCTATTGCAGTACACGTCTGCTTTGCTTTGATCTTCTGCACTTCCTCCTCGTGTTCCTGCCGTTCTGTGTACGCACCCGGTGCGCCCCCGCAGGTCCACAGGTACTGCCTGGACCACCCCGACGGCAGCAGCAGCAGTTGCGGTGGAGGCGGCTGCAGAAACGCCCAACCGCGGAACACATTATCATCAGCCACCAGGCTGCGTGCCAACGTTCCCGCAGCAGCAGCGGCAGCGGCGGCGGTGGCGGCGCCTTGTGGCGTGCCCATAACTGCCACCTCCTCCTCCTCTACTCCTAGCGCGGCAGCTGATCAAGGAGGCCATGAGGGGGAGGAAGCTGCTGCCTCGTCGCCGCAACGTCACACAGGCGGCAGGACCAAAGGCGGAAAGGGCAAGACTGCGCAGCCGGACGGCTTCTACCTTTGGCATGTGCTGCCGGAGGGCGGGGGGGCCAGCAGGCGGGGTGGGAAGCGGGCTGGAGTTGCTGGCAAGCGGAAGCGGGCGGATGCCTGCAGCAGCAGGACTTCTATGCCGCACCAGAAAGAGCAGCAGCAGCAGCAGCAGCAGGCAGACATGCAGGACAATGACGACATGGAGGAGGAGCAGCAGGAGGAACAGGAGGAACAGGGGTCAGCGGAGCCGTGGAGCCCGAATGGTGTCACAGAGGGGGCACAGACGCGGACCCCAGTGGACGCTTCCGGAACCATGCAGCCACCCACATATGCGTCCGCGGCGCCAAGCTGTGCAGCGGCTGTACCTGTGGCTATTCCCGCCCCTGCTGCTGCCTCCGCCCCTGTTGCCTCCGCCGCCGCTGCTGCTTCCGCTGGTGCTGCCCCCGCTCCTCCTGCTGCCTCCGCCGCCGCTGCTGCCCCAGCTTCCCCTGCCGCCAGCAGTCATGTGGCCCCCGATGTGGCTGGAGCCCTCCGTCAGGCGGCAGCGGAAGCGGTTGAGGCGGCGGAGGCGACGGTGGCGGCGGCGCCGCAGGTTGGCAGACGTGCCGCCGCCGCCACGGCTGCTACTGCTACTGCTGCTGCCGCTGCGGCGGCGGCTGGCACTAGTGCCGGTGGTGGTGCTGCCCGCCGGGAACACAAGAGGCGGAGCCAGGGAATGGGCAGCTCGCTAGGTATGTAGCTAGATAGGGACGCTGGCGCGCCGCCGACGCCGCCTGCCGCTGCCACCAGCAGGCGCCGCCGCCGCAGCAATGGCCGCACCAAGATGCTTTTTACGAATCCTTGGGGCTACCATACTGGTATGCGTGGTGGGCCGGGGCTCCGCAGGTAGAGATGGCGGTGGGTGTACAGCCTGCTGAGAGTGGGCGGGGTAAGGGGTGTGCACACCAGCCTGAGGTAGTGGGAGGGCTGTGCGCAGCCTGACATGTATGGGGGAAGGGTTGTGCAGAACGCAAGACGGGTTAAGAGGTGTGTACAACCTAAGGGAACTCAAGAGTGGGAAATCCTGGACTGCATTGCCGAAAGATGGCTAAGCGGCGGTTTACGCGTTGCCCCGTACAAGGGAAATGGGGTGCATACGGGCGATATGGGTTATGGCTTATGGGGTAAACACAACGGGGAGATGAGTTGCATGGAGAAACCGTTGCAGATCGACCGTTGCGGGCGCCAACCCATAATAAGGCACGGTTTGTGCACATACAGACATACACACTACAGGCACGCTTCTAGTTCCAAGCCATGGTACTTCTCTTACTTGTCCTAGTCGAGGCATGTATACCACATGCGACATGAAGATTCACATGTATGCGGCGCGCAAAGAGACGCTAGGCGGTGCGTGGCGCAGTAGTGCTTGCCACGTTAGGCCTCGTACCCATGGCGGCGGCGGGCCAGATGCTGTTAGCAGAAGAAGCGCAAGATTGGACTACAATGCGACATATGGCTTTCAATCACATGCGATAGCTCGAGTGTTAGGGCCTGGCTAGGGCTTTCTGCTGCCTAGGTAACATGAATGAAGCTTATGCCTAGGTGGACGGAGGCGCTCCACGTGCAGCAACAGCTCGTGTCGGCTTACGTGTCAGCTTACTAATGCTGTGGCGGAAAGCGTGAAGGGGCGGATCATCATGATACGTTGATGATGAGCCCCGCAGGAATGGAAGGTGTATGTCGACTGCTGCGTGACAAGCAAGTCAATCGTAGCTGCCGTCATCAATGCAATACGCATTACGTACGATGCAGTAGCAATAGATATGTAGCTGCAAGGGGGTATAGTAGTGTGGCAGAGCATGGAGTGCAGTCGTCTTGCTTCAGGCTTGGTTGAGCTGTGCAACGTCGAGACTAACTAACTTGATTGGGTAGGGTCGTATGCATTAGCCGTGATAGCCGTGCGTGACAGTGCTGAATTGCAACAGGCAGCAGTGCATGCATAATGAGTAAGTTGTTTATTGTTAGGCACGCACACTAGCCTTGGTTGCCCGGCATATGGGTCAGTATAAGCAGTGCCACATGCATGCTTCGCTTGCACGCATGATATTGAGATTTGTACTTTTAGCATGGTAAGATGTATTGCTGCATACCTGGTTGCAAGGTTGCATGTTGCTTCGGCCTGATAGCTCGGTGAATACGCGCCGTGTACACGTGTTCGTTCTTTGCTTTGCAGTACTGTACTACTATTTGCACAGAAGCCGTCGAACGTACGGCAACATTATGTTGTACTAGTACTCATCAATTAGTGGTTTAGGTGGCCAACCTTACTAGATGCAAGGCGGTTTGAATCGGTTGCCGTTGCTGTAGTTGCGAGACTCACAACGAGGCCCGCCTCTCGGCGCAAGATCTCCACCACCAAGGGATCCGTGGTCCCTGCTGCATGTGCGATCAGGTCCACATACACCTTCTGCTGCATTTACCTGTCGAAGCAAAAGGTTTCTTAACTAGTGATGCTTGCTTGCGTTAGTTCATGGAAAAGAGTGTGTTATTGGCGGGGTTGAGTTGCCTCGCTCATAATTCGTACGCTCGTATGTTGTTCGTTGTTCGTTGTTCGTATGGCAATCAGGATGCTAACTGGCTCCTGGCTGGTGAATCTTGCTAGTGGATCCTAACCACGCACAACCGCTTTGTTGCTTAACGTGTCCATTATTGTAGCCCCATGACGGGTGCAGTTGCACTATTAGGCTTGTGAACGTGTAATCGTTGCTTGAACAGCATCCATGATTGGCGGCTGGCTGCATTTGCTGTACGACAGCATAAACACACGGTAGCTCAGGGGTATCTAAGTGTGTAGTAGCAAGCCTGTCAAAGTGTTGCTTACGTATACGTCGTTCTTTCCGGTGCGTTCTATCTTCTTGAGCTTGTTGCGAATGCAAGGATTTAAATGAATGATGACCCATGGGTCACTTGGCTCGGCATTCAAAGCTGCCGCAGCGCTTCCTCTCCTTTCTTGTACAAGTTGCAGCATGAGGGCCACAGTGTTGGTTGCTTATTACTGCAGTTGTTTTACGTTGTATCAGTTGGCGCTCTAGTTGGTTGCTGTTCGGTTTCGGCAATCAGGGTCGTTTTGTACCCACTTGCAGCATGCGGCGCCTACTTTATTGTATCCGCCCGCTGCTGCTGAAGCTGCTGAGGCTGTCTGGGCTGATTTGCCCCTGCTCCTGTTGCGTGTGGGGGTGCGTATGTAGTCCTTCTCTGGAGCATCGAACTGCCAAGAGTTGCCAAAGCCCTGCCTGTTACAGATAGATACCGGTAGAGCGGTAGCAGGTGACTGCCTTTGCTTGTGAATGCGGCAGAGCTGCTGTGTCCACACGCACCCTCCGCCTGACAACCAAACCCACCAGCACTTTATGCACTCGGCTCTCTTTCTCTTCCTTAAATACTTACGGTTGATCTGATGTGGAGAGCCGCATGCGCTTCCCGAGGGTTCGGACCCCTAGCGCCTTCCAACACCACTTGATGTGTTCCCTTTTAGGAAACCACTGAAACAGTCATTATTCAATACCCAAGCGCCTTCCAACCTCCGCCGACCACCACCACCACCATCACCACTGCAACGCCCACACCAGTATGTGTGTGTTGTAGGTCACAACCACACATTGTTACCCTGTTTCCACACATTATCCTGTCTGTCTGTCTGTCTGTTCATGGATTCCTGTTACGGCAACGTAGCGGTATTCCCGCTGTAAGCAAATAAACAACATACAACGCGTGTCAATACACAACGAAGTAAGCCTGCAATTTTGGATGCGTATCAAGTGTTTGATTGAACGGCAACGCAATGCTGTCTCTGTCCTAGCTACGTCATTGAACGAACACTTAACACTTCACGGCATTTCACTCTTAAGGTCTCTAACCTACGGTCTATCTAGCACATCACATCCATGCTATTGCATATAAGCGATCCTACCATACAAACAAATAAATACTTGCACAATACCCACCCTACCTACACGCGCGCGCAATACACACATACACACCTTCCCCAAGTGCTTTGCAACAAACATCGAAAGCAGCTTGCTCCCTTGGTCCCGGTGTTGTCCATATCTATCTACCCTATCTAGCTAAACAAAGCACAACCTCCGAGCTCTTTACTTTCTAGGTCTTATCTCTCAAAGTCTCAATCACGCTCCCACCATCATCGCATCAGGCATGCAACCCACAAGTTCCCTCCTCGCTCTCCTCACAACTCCTGCGCTTTCATGACGTCGTCCCCTGCCTACGAACCTCCTTCTTCTCTCGCCCCTCCTCCTCCTCCAATACCAACCCAAAGAACGCCCGTCCGTCCACCGACAAAATGGTTCCACGATTTAACAGCTGGACACAATGGCTTCGAACGCACCCCACCGCCCAGCCCTTCTCCGCCTCACGTCGTCTGAGCTCGTCCAAATCCAACAACTGAATCCGTTGCGGCGACCGTTGCCGATCCTCTTGCAGCTGCTGCGGTTGCGCGGCGGGTGGTGCTCCTGACGACACGAGCGATGAGGAAGCGGATGACGAAGAGGAGGAGGACTGCGGAAAGGAGCATGCAGAGGAGCAGGAGGAGGAGGTTGATGAGGAGGTAAATCCCGAGCCTGCTGCAGCGCCAGCGGTTGCTGTCATGGCGCCGCCAGAAGGGTTGCTGCTGTTGCTACCCGGCGGCAGGTTGGGCGACTCGGGTTGGGGTTCCATGACACAGTCGCGCAGAGCAACCTAGGGGAACACGGGGTGGGGGGTGAAATCGGAGGGGGCTAGCATTCAGTGGGACAATCCAAAAGAGGGCGTTAAGACGAGCTCGGTGTTTTGGCCTCTTATTTAACGGCCCTAACCTATTCTAACAAGCCGCCCATCGTATGGCCTCACTGTGCTCCACAAGCAGCAGCAACGGTTCCTCCCCGCTGTCTCCCAGGAGACTCCCACGCCCCCCGCAACCCCGCCCGCATGGCTCACCTTTGCCCCCATGTGCACCCGGATGGCCAGCATGGGGTTGTACTCAAACACACACCCCACCAGCCGCCCCCTGCTGCCCTTGCCCCCCACCGACACGTCCCCATGCAGGTTGCCCCCCAATCGGCAGTCATCGCCCCACACCGCACCGCCCGAACACACAAACACACCGCTCTCCTTGTTGCTGAACGCAAGGCACTCATGCAGCACCAGCTCGCATCCCAACCCGTCTGCGTAAGCTCCGTCCCCCACGTTCTGACTCAGCTCACAGCCTGATACCCTCAACCCCCCGCCGCACACCACCGCACAACCATGCGAGCCGTTCTTCGCAAGTTGGCCCCCCGCCACAAGGCAAAACACATTCGGCAGCGGAACCATGGGCGGCGGCAGCGCCGCCAACGTTGCCTCCGCCACAACCTTGGCGCCTGCGGCCTTGTCGTACATCCCCTCAATCTCCACGCCGTGAATGGCGTTGCTGCTGGCGCTACAATCCTGCAGTTCCAACGCCGCACCGCCCCTCACATGCACGCCGCATTCCTCATTGTTGTCAAAGTTGCATAGCTCCGCCAACGCCCGCGTGCCTGCGCCTTCCACCAACATCCCAGTTCCCTCCACACACCCCACCGAGGTACATCTCAACATGACCAACGCAGCACCCTCCTTCACCGTTACGTTGCTCGTCAGGTTTCCCGTGACCTCGCAATCCGTGAGATCCGCAACCGTACTGCCGCCTCGTACGACAATCCCAGCCACGCGATTGTCGTACAACCGACTCATCACGGCTGAAAACTGAGCTCCCGACAGCAACGTAACCGCGTTACGGCGGCAACATGAGACACTGCATTGCGCCAGGGAAACCCGAGTGGCTTCACCCTCCGCGGAAATGCCGCTGGCAGGCCCCTCCCGGATCTCGGTTTGGTAGGCTTGGAGGGAGGCGTTGCTGGTGACGAGCAGCAGGGGCGCGTAGGCGGCGCATGCACGGCCGGGTTTGACACGGCAGCGACGGAGCGTGAGGGAGGTGTTGGCGCCGGTGGCGATACAGCGACCCAGACGGCAACCGACGGCTTCCAAGGTGCCGCCGGTTTCTGTGAGAATGCAGTAGTTGGCGTCCAAACTGCTGCTGCTGGTGGTGCTGGTGAAACTGTGGTGTTGAGTGGAGTGGCGGTGGTGGTTGTGAGGGTGGTCATGCTGACAGGGGTCGTAGCACCCTTGCTGTTGGGGAGGCTGGTAATGTGGGTCAGGAGGAGGCGGAGGCTGCTGCTGGTAGAAGTAGTAGGGACCAGCGGTCAGTGGGGTTTGCGGCGCCATGCAAGCCCTCGGCGACTGCTCCTCGCCCCACGCCCTCAAGTCGTTGTGCCCTGCAGCCGCCCTCCCTTCTCCCGGGTACACCTTCACTCGGCAGCCGCGCAGCAGGCACCGCCCGCCACCCGCCACATGCAGCAGAGGAACACCCACACCCACACCCACACCACGACCACCCACACCCGCACCCCCAGCAGCACCACCCGCAGCAGCAGCAGCAGTAGCACCCATGCCACGGCCGCCCTGTTTGCCCCCGGGGGCACCTCTTCCCACGCTCTTCCTAGTGGCAGTCACAACGCTGACGTCAGCCAGAACCAGGTGGCCTCCCGGCCCCACCCAGAGCTTCTGACCGGGTTTGAAAGCCAGAGTGCAGTTGTGGAGGATGAGGGTGCGGTTACGGATGCGCAGGGTACCGGCGTGCTCGGGGTCGAGGTCGCCGGAGAAGGTAACCCCGCCGAGGGAGAAGTGAAGGGGACGCTCGCCGGAGCGGAGGATGCGGTCGTACAGCTCCTGGTGTCAAGAGGTGGGAGGTGGGAGGGGTTGGGGAAATGGGAAACGGGAAAGGAAGGAACGAAGGCAAAGATAGGAGCTTGAGAGAAAAAAAGATGAGCATAACATAGTGCAGTTGCTATACTGGTATCAATCCACCGCAAAAACCCAACAGCACGTGTCAATTGCTGAAGATGCCCCGTGTCCAAACGCCCACCGCCTCCGCCCACCACACGTGTCCTTGTGCCCCTGCGAGTCCCCCCATTCACCTGCAAGCTCCCAGTCAACATCACGTGTATCGGCAGCGGGATACGCGCCTCTCCCTCGCCGCCTCCAGCCGCCCTCCCTGCACCCCCTCCTCCTCTCGGTCTCGCCAGCATCAAGTCCCCCTCATCCGCCTTGCACGCCTTATCCCGCGCCTCGTCCGGCCCCGACAAAATCAGCCGCAAATCAGAGCAGGGACCCCGGGGCCGCTGGGCTGCTTCCCAGACGCCTACCGCTCTTCCTACTGCTGCTGCTGCTGCTGCTGCTGTGGTGGCTGCGGATGCTGCTGCGGATGCTGCTGCGGGCCCACCGCTGCTGACGTTGCCGCCTACCCTAGCTGCGGGTCTGTTGGCAGACCCCATGGGCGATGCTGAGCGGGGCGTCATGGGACCAGCAGCAGCACCAGCAGCACCAGCACCAGCACCAGCAGCAGCAGCGGAGGATGTGGAGGTGGCTTGTCGGAGGTGACTCTGGTGGGCACGGCTGCTGCTGCTGCCGTAGGTGCTGCTGATGGTGCTGCTGCTAGCAGACATGGGCCGCATGCGGATGGCTGGTTGCATGGGGCCCCCTGCCGCGACGTTGGAAGAGGCGGAAGAGGGAGGTTGGCTGCAGCAGGTGAGGGGATTGGAAAAGGTGACTGAACGAACCAGCGAGCGGGGAGGTGCGGGCGCTGGCACCGCTTGGGAAGCGGCGGAAGAAGACGTGGAGGAGGAGCGGTATGCAGAAGGAGCAGCAGGAGCAGCAGCAGCAGCAGGTGCTGCTGAGGTCACAGCAGGTGCCGTTGCAGCTGTGACCTCAGCATGCGTCGTACGGGAACGCGGTCCGGCACTCTGGGGTCGCCTGGGAGTCCCCGCCACGGAGAAGGAGGAAGAGGAGGAGGAACTTGTCACGAACCCGTTTGCACTGCTGCGACGCGCGCCGGTAGCAACGTTGCTGCTGCTGCTGCCCGCGCTACTGATGCTGGGCGCCGGGGAGGCTGGCCGGCTGCTGGATCCGACGCGCAGCAACTGCTGCTGCTGCTGCTGCTGCTGTGGCGTCGTCGGCGCCCAGGCCCATGACGGAGCGCTGCCGTACGGCGCATTGCTGCCGCCACTGCCGCCGCCGCCGCCGATACCTCCGTTAGCGCTAGAAGTCGTCCGACGGAATCGAGCCGCCACGAGGGTCGAGCGGGGGAGCGAGGGTGCCGTACCCGGGGGCCCAGGACCGACGCCGACACCGCCGGCGGCGGCTTTGTTGCCGCCGGCTAGAAAATACGACAAAAGGGACCGTCCAGAGGGGTCGTCTCGGAGTAAGCAGGAGGGCCCGGATCCTTCGGAAAGGCACCTCTTGTCGCTGGAGGGTGGCGGGGCTGATGTGTTGTTGGTGTCATGTTGGGGGGGTGAGGGTGGGGAGGGTACCCGTGGAGGAACTGCCTTAGCAGTCGGTGGTGGTGGTGGTGCTGGCGCCGACCGTGTCTCGGGCAGCTGTTGTTGATGTTGTTGATGTTGCTGTTGGTTCGGGGGCCGACGGCCGGCAGAGCTGGGACGTGCGGGTGCTGTACGGCTGCTGGCCCAAGTCGTCGTTGCAGTTGATGTCGCCGCCGCAGCCGTCGGGGCCGTTGATGTTGCCGCCGCAGCCGTCGGGGCCGTTGGCGCGGCGGTTGCAGCGGGGGTTGTTGATGTTGCCGTTGTGGATCCTGTCGTACTGCCGACATCGCTGATGACGACGCCCCTGCGCTTCATGGTGCTTGAGGCGGGCACGGGCGTGGCCACAAAGTCCCGCATCTGACGCCTTTCGGCTAGCAGTGCGGAGGCGACGGTTGGCTTGGACCAAATGGTAAGCCATGAGGGAACGCCGGGCGGAGGTTTTAGGGTGCTTGGGCCGGGGCCCGGGCTCGGGCTGCGGGCGAAGGCTGCGCGTTTTGAAGTGGTTTTGCCGTTCTGGTCATTATTGATGCTGCCACTGCTGGCACTGCGGCTGCGGCGCTCTGAAGCAGAGCCTCCAGGCCCAGCCTGTAGGGTATGGGATGGAGGAAAGCGGAAACGGAGACTGTTGGCTTGAAGGACGCAGTTGAATGTAATGGCATTGACAGATTAAGCCTGTACATAGAAGTTCGTAACCATGGTTGCATAAAAGCGAAAGCCCAAGCGAGGTTGGCTAGGATTGGACGAAAGTTGCAATTCCAAGTCAAGGAAAGTCGACGATATTATGAACTGATTGCACTCCACGAATGCCCGTATATCATGACCAGGAAGGCAAGGCCAGCGCGATAGATATAAACATAAAACGACTGGACATCTATCCCAGCGAGGTGTCAGCAAATTTAACATGAAAGCAAGACAGCGGCAAGCTTCTAAAACGGTGTCCGATCTAGCATAATGGGAATCATGGTACCTAGCGAGCCGGTAGCAACCTGGGCCATTGTCCTACTTCAGGACGCTCGCTCACCTGTGCGCCCGCCGACGACATCCCCACTGGCACGTGAAGTCCGTGTTCAGCTAGGGCAATAGTATGTAAAATGGCATTATCCAATGCAGGGACCGGTCGAGAGAACGGGCACGGGATGTGCAGTTGCAGTGAAGGTACTAAAGCATTTCTCAAGCAGACATCTACAGAAGAAACCGTTCAAGAAATGTCTTTCCGATAAAACGCAACTGTCTGTCTAATCTCTTGTATGGGGAGAAAAAACGTGACAGCGGTTGTTGTACAGAGCTCGTTCTCTCCCGAATTGAAACTCTAGGAATAGTATTGAGCATTCAAATTTCCATACAGTGGATGTCAGACCCAGTCACAAAGTTGCGTTGTGAAAGTCCCGTGGGGCGTGGGCTCTGACGGGATCGCTTAAATACAAAGCTCATTGCAGTGCATTGACGCATTGCAACCTATGAGACGTTTTTGTTCAGGACATGTCAGAGGTTGTGCATAAGCGACGCAGCATAACAGCGCTCGCTTCCGAGGACGTACGTCATTACTTTAGGCTTAGGCAGCCGCTAAATGCCTTCATTCCAGCTTTCCATGCATAGAAGCCACAAGTTCAAACCGAAAAAGCTCTATCCGCTCTGTCACCACTAGGCGCGCAGAGCGACACCACCCTAAGAGCATTTTTTTTCGCGACTCAGGGGCGGAGTCACTCTAAGCCTAAAGCTGCCCAAGGACCCTAGTTGTCACTACTGCTGCCGTATAGTGCCGTAAGGTGCCGACACACTATACTTTGACCACACTACCCCTGCTAACGTATGTGTACCTAAGGCTACTAGTGGGGGCTATATATCGAGACTGGCTATGCGTGCGGAAGTTATGTAACGGGGTAATATCCAAGCACGTATGTCCACCTAAGACTTATCAGCAGTTGGGGGCCGTAAGTTGTTGTTGCCGTACCAAGCACTTAGTTGCAGTGGCAGGCAGGGGGTACAGGTACAGAAGAGGGAAGGGGCTGTTGCTGACCTTCCAGACGTGCGAGCAGGAAGGGCCCTGGTGGTGCGACCCTTGTTGACAGGAGAGAAAGAGTCTTGCTTGGCCTTGACTTGTTACAGAAAGGGGAGAAGGGCTATCGGGCCTTTGCCGGAACCGTCTGCCTACCCGCCCTGGGTTAGGGTCTTGGACTGGTTAGACTGGTTAACTAAAATAACTCAAAACTCCGCCTTTTATACTGATGGGAAAAGTACGACAATTGTACGGAAACCTACTATTGGCCTGCCAGATCCTACTACGGCAGCTGCCAGAAGCTGCCAACGTAATTTGGAACCTTCCAGAGGCCATTCGACACCTTCGTACGGTTTCCCGTACAGGGTTTCGGAGGCCTAACGACCGACCCTCGGGTCAAACCCTCTAAAGTAGGCCGCAAAGCTATAAAACGCATACAAAACATTAAGCAGGACAAGTAACAAACATGTTCGCAGCAGCAAAACAATCAAACAATCATGTTCGCTAAAGCGTCTTTCTCCGACCACAACCAAACTGCTTTTGCAACTTCCTCATCTTAGGCTAAAGTAGCTGACAGCTGTCACCACTTTCCCCTGCTAGCGCGAACTGCCCCGGTTCGCTCGGCACAAAGAGCTCAGGCGCAAGCGCACTTTTTGTGGCGTACAACTAATTCATACCAACAATTCTAGCGCTCTGGACCAACTCCTTCCCTAATCGTCTTGTCGTACTTGTCCTAGCCCGCGGGGCTCCGACTTCCGGGGTCCGTTCCGTCTTCCAAAGTCCGTTCGGTCGTCCAAGGGGCTGGCACACATCTATCCCGATTACTAAGGCATCTATCTGAAGCTCATGCTTTGGACGGCGCTAAGTCACAGCAAGCAGGTCTGGCTGACCCATGGGACTCTTCTTACCTAACCACGACAGCCACACATGTAACAAGAAATGTAGATAGCTCTTAGCCATGGCATTCTCCACGCTTTAAAGACACACTGCCGGTCCTAGACAGCCTCTCCGTCGCTGGGTCCACACGCTTGTTGTACAGACCTAGCGTCGGCTGTTTCGTATTTAGAGGCCAACCCAAATGGCCCCTTGCAGTGTCACCTCACAGCCTGCTGCCGCTTAAGCTGGGGATTCGACTGGCGGTAGGGTTGCGGGATCGGTGTTCCCCTGCTAAGATCGAACTACGGGTGGGAAGAGCCGACGTGGCTGCTGATAGTGAAGAGTAGAGCAGGTCGTAGGGCAGAGACAGCCGCCCACACGCTGTTGGTTGGAAGCGGTCCAACCCCTTATCGCACGATCCTTCTTCCCTCCAGGGTCTATCACCGTAGGGGCTGTTGATGCAGCAGGCCTAGCCACCCTCTCCGGCCCCACCGCTGCCCTTTCGGCGCTTGACAACCGGTAAGGGTACCGGGTAACGGGTGGTGAGTCGCCAGGGTCGAAACACATGGAAGCCCGCGGAGGGGAATCCAGTTCTTGGTCGGTTGCGGAGACCATGCTAAAGTTGTCTAGCAGGCAGGTAATTGTAGACAGCGTGCCCTTGCCGGCGACGACCAGCAGTGCAGAATCCTCCTGGTCGGCCATGAATAGTGCCGCCCGCATGCCGTACTGCAGCAGGCTACACGGCTCAGCCCCTGCAAGGAGTTCCGTACGGTCCTGACCTGCGGGTGGAGGCTCTGGGTCCAGGTAGGTGTCATCCGCTGGTGTTGTGACATCCTCCTCGACTGCTAGGGCCTTGCGCGGAACATCACACGTAGGTGGGGAACTTAGTGGCAGTCCAAGCGGGTTGGCGTACTCAACCTCAAACCTAGACATGTCGTTGTCGGCAGCAGCACTGAGATCGCTTGCAGTCAGCTCCCAGCCAGAACCCGTTGCCTCAAGGAGCGGCGGAGGGTCATGTCCCACTGGGGCAAAGAGCTCGGTTGCAGCCTCCGGCTCGGGCTCAGGGGAGTTGCCCGGGTCCGTCGCTGATGCATAGCCGCTCCAAGCGGGTGCCGCGCTGCCCTCCTCTGAAGCTTTGCTAGAAGCGTTGACGAAACCTTGCCCGTCCATGCCTCCCGTTGTTGGCGACTCATGAATCTTAGCGTCGCACATCAGCCCCACACCGACTTGCTCCGCATGGCTCTGATCCCGCTGCTGCAGATAACGCAGCGCTACACATGCACTGTCCTTAGCGGCGGGTAGCTGAGGGGCCTCCGGCATGGCAGATCCAGGTAGGCCGCCGGTTGCTGTGCTGACGACCGCAGCTGGGGGATAATCGGGATCCCCACCAGTTGCATGGCGGTCTTGCGGGGTTGTCAAGTTGTCGTCGCTGGTTGGCACGCGCGCCCCGTTGTTAGCTGTTGGTAGGCTGGGATCCACAAGGCCAACAGGCTCAGGCACGCATGCGTTAGCGCCCACGCCGGCATTGAAGCCGTGAACCGCTTGGGGGCTAGAGGGTACGGTAGACCGTTGGTAGTTGGCGTCGGTGCAGACGTTGACTGGGTCGCAATGCAGAGCGGTACACAAAGGTACCAGGCCCTTCTTGACCTTGCTAAAAGACTTGTCCGCCACCCGGTACTCCATGTCGCATGGATCCGCAGGAACGTGGGCCGTGCGTTCTCGAGTGGTTGCCGAAGAACGGTGTACCCTGTACGGCAATGCGTGGCGGCCGTACAGCTGAGCGGCGTTGTCCGGACGGGCTGTAGCCGGACGCGTTGCAGCAGGCAATGGTGCCGGGGTGAGCTGACGAGTAGCCACCGGCGATGACACGTTGCGCGGGCCAGGGGTTAGCGGCGCCATAGTGAACGGGCTAGCAGAAGGTGCTTGTGGACAGGCCTCGTACAGAATAGGCTCAGGCTCCAGCTCACATAGGTCCTCATACTCCGGCGCTGAAAGGCCTTGCGGACATGGGGTCGGGTTGCAGTAATGCGCCTGGGGTCCACCCTCCAGCAGCAGGGTGAGGTGCGCCATCTGCTTTGCTAGGCTGGCCACTTGGGACTCGAGCGACGTGGCAGCAGGGCTAGACGTGGACGGCCGAGGGCCATCATGCCGGTGTTGTACGTCCTGACGGGCCCGATGGTATGGCGGCATGGCGTCACGACGGTATGGGGGTTCGTACGGGCGCCTGGGACTTGGGGGTACGGCGTTGCTATGAATGTTGCGCGCACGGCACTCTTGGTGGCCAAGCGGTGGTTCAACCTGCCGTACGCCGGAGTCCTCTTGTACGACAAGACGCCGAACCCCTTCATCAATGTAGATGGCATCCTTAACTGCTTGTTCGAATGTTGCCGGGCGCATGAGGTACACACGGCTGTAAACATGGGAGGCTAGACCCTGTAGGAAGCTGTGCAGGTGTACTGGGTCTGCGTTAAGGTTAATGCGCAGACGGGCAGCCAGCTCCCTGAACCGGTCAGCATACGCACGGACAGACTCGCTCCTTCCTTGTTGACAGCTGGCTAGGCGGCCATAAAGCTCCTCCTTAACCTCACCAAACCGCTCCAGGAAGGCACTCTTGAACAGATCCCACGTGTTGACAACGGCCTCCACACCGGAGAACCACGTAGCTGCAGCGTTGCCTAGCCGACACACAGCAACGTCCAGCTTGTTGACGTCAGACCAAGCATACATGCGACCAAGACGTTCAAGCCTCTCCACCCACTGTACGGCATCTTCAGATGGCCGATAAGTTGGAATGGAGTTGACAGCAGACGGATGGAGGTATCCAGCCTGCCCTGTGTTGCCAGGGTCTTGCCCTTCCATAATGCTTGGAGGGGTTCTTCAGTCTTAAGAGTGTTGAAGAGGCGTGGGGACAGCAGAGTGGCAGCTAAAACCTGGTCTCGATACCAAGGCGCGCAGAGCGACACCACCCTAAGAGCATTTTTTTTCGCGACTCAGGGGCGGAGTCACTCTAAGCCTAAAGCTGCCCAAGGACCCTAGTTGTCACTACTGCTGCCGTATAGTGCCGTAAGGTGCCGACACACTATACTTTGACCACACTACCCCTGCTAACGTATGTGTACCTAAGGCTACTAGTGGGGGCTATATATCGAGACTGGCTATGCGTGCGGAAGTTATGTAACGGGGTAATATCCAAGCACGTATGTCCACCTAAGACTTATCAGCAGTTGGGGGCCGTAAGTTGTTGTTGCCGTACCAAGCACTTAGTTGCAGTGGCAGGCAGGGGGTACAGGTACAGAAGAGGGAAGGGGCTGTTGCTGACCTTCCAGACGTGCGAGC